GGGGGGGGGGTGTAGCAGAGGCAGTGGCCCAGTGGGGACTCAGAGTGTGAGAGGGGTAAGGACAGTGTCCTTGAAGGTGGGGCAGGGTGTGGGGGGGGAACAAGAGGTGACAGAGCAGCAAAATACAGGGTGTGGGAATTCCAGCAGGGTGAGGAAGATATCTAAGGAGGGGGGATGGTAAAGGCCTAGAGTGGGCCACAGTGAGATACCACCATCTACTCACTTTAGAAGGGCTGAAATTACAAACTCACCATACAACTGGTAGTGAGGATGTGAAGCAATTTTAAGTCTCATATGTTGCTGGTGGAATGTAAAAATGTCTAATCATTTGGAAAACAGCCTCCTGACAACCAAGACATTCCACTACTAGGTATTTACCCAAGGGAAAAGAAAGTTTATGTCCACAGAAAGACTTGTTTACCAATATTCATAGCAGTTTTATTTGTAATAGTCAAAACTGGAAACAACTCACATTACCATCAACAGGTGCCTAGATAACAAATCATGATATATCCATACAATGGAAAGTACTCAGCAATAAAAAGGACCAAACTATTGATACACACAACAATATACATGATTTTCAGAATAGTTACGCTGAAAAAAAGCTAGACCAAAAAAAAAGTATGTACCATATGATTCCAGTTGGAAAATGCAAACTATACAGACAAAAATTAGATCAATGGTTGCCTGGGGATGGGGTTGCGATGGGAAAAGGATGGATTACAAAGGGATCCAAGGACTTTTAGGGGTGACAGATATGTTCACTATATGATTGTGGTTATGGTTTCATGGGTGCATACATGTAAAATCCATCAAATTCTATATTTCAAACATTGTAGTTTACTGTTTGTCAATTATATCTCAATAAACCAGTAAAACAATTTAAAAAACCTATATGAAGTATAAAAGTTTTTTTGTTTTTTTTTTAAATATTAGATGGGGACAGGCCTCGTGGCCGAGTGGTTAAGTTCACGCACTCTGCTTTGGCAGCCCAGGGTTTCGCCAGTTCAGATCCTGGGCACAGACATGGCACCACTCATCAGGCCATGCTGAGGAGGCATCCCACATGACGCAACTAGAAGGACCCACAACTAAAATATACAACTATGTACTGGGGGGATTTGGGGGTAAAAAGCAGGGAAAAAAAAAAAAGATTGGCAGCAGTTCTTAGCTCAGGTGCCAATCTTTTAAAAAAAAATTTTAGACAATGCTGCAAAGCGCCGTATTTTTTTTTTGCTTTTTGCAGGGCAAGATTTGCCCCACACTAACATCTGTTGCCAGTCTTCCTCCTTTTTCTTCCTTTGTTTTCCCCCTCAAAGCCCCAGTACGTAGTTGTGTATAGTTGTAAGTTCTTCTAGTTATTCTATGTGAGCTGCTGCCACAGCATGGCTACTGATGGATGAGTGGTATGTTTGTGTGCCTGGGAACCAAACCTGGGCTACTGAAGTGGAGCACGCTGAACTTTAACTACTAGGCCATCAAGCCTGGCTCAAATTTTTTTAGTGTTTTGGTTTTTTTAAAGAAAGACTGGTAATAATAATGACAGTAATAACAACTACCCACTATAGAACACTTACTGTGTGTCATGCACTTTTTTATCCTAAGTACTTTGTACTAATTATTTAAGCACTCAAACACCAAAATGGGATAGGTATTATTTTTATCTCTATTTTAAGCACAGAGAGGTTAAGTAATTTGCCAAAGGTCATACTCTCAGTAAGATGTAGAATGAGGATTCAAACCCTGGCAATCTCATTCAGGGTCCAAGTTAACTTTATGATGTTTGTTTCTGAAGCATGGGGAATTTTTGTGCTTGGAATAATTACAAGAAATGTGTACGTGCTGAGAGTGTTTTCATCAATCAGGACATGTACATTTCCTATCTAGAGATGAATAGGTTATTTTATAACATACATGAACCTAGAAATTTAAAAAGTACAAATAGGTTTAAGTGTAAATTACATTCTCTCACCTCCACCCCATCCTCTGGCCACCTCCCCCACTGCTGCCTCTTGGCAGACTGATCCCTAAATCAAAGTTAATAGTTTTTCATTTAGCTGCCGATTATAAATGAAAGGATTAGAAAGGAAACTCAACTGGTTCACATAAGAGTATACATAGAGTCCACTTTAAAAATTCCTCCAGCTCCCTTTCTAAGAGGTTCATAATCCCTCTGATGATTTTTATTTCAGAAAGGGCATATTAACATATATTTTCAAAAGTAAAAATTTGCCACTCTTCCCTTCAGGAAAATAAGCAAATATCTACTATGACAGAATAATGGTAAGGGGGGGAAAATAAATTACCCACACAGGATGGTAAGGGGAGGTAATATCAAACAAGATAACACGTACCTGAATTACTATATATTTTAAAAGTGCTTCAAGAAAGTAGCTTGTGAGATCTTCTTGTCCTTTATCTCCTGATTGTGGGGGGACAAGAGGAGTGATTTCCTCTATAGTAACTTGAGCTATCCAAAGACAAAAGAAAAGTTTAGTATAATTGCAAAACAAATTAAATAATAATGACTCAAAATTTAATTGCAAAACATAAACACAGTGAATACTCTTTGAAAACATTCTAACGACTGTAACTTGAAATAAATCTGGTAGTCCTAATAGTCATTGCAACCACCATAAACTAAGAATCAGTTGTTTCATGAACCCCTGATTTCGAGAATGTGACATACAGATGAACAGACAGATATGGAATTAAAAGTGAATAACGTCTCACTTGAAAAAGAACTTCTCAAGATATTTTAAAATTCACAGTAAGAGAGTTTATTACAAAAATTCTATAATATGATGAGAAGCATTAATAATAATGTGTTTATTTATCTATTAAAGGACAATCTGATGACTCTAGGTAATGACCATGATTCCTCCTTGAGGTAGCCTCTTTATTCAAAGGATGAAATACTATTTCCCTCTCAAAAAGAAATAAAAGTTAGCATCTTAGATCCTTGGTTACAAAAGTCCACTTACACAATAAAACTTTTGCATTTTTTTACTTTTCAGATATTCAAAAACATTCATTATAACAAATGTAAATTCAAAAAAATCAAACCACAACTAGCTGAATTCTCTTAAATATTTCCTAAGCAGCACAATTAGTACCTGGTTTAGCACAGGCAGGTCCCAAAACCTATTTGTCAGTAAATATCAGCCCAGTAATTAAGCTCACACAGATGGATTTTTTTACAGTCCTCTTTGCATAAAGTAAAACACACTTGTACTTCAATGAACATCTAAATTAACTCAAGGTTACAAGACGATATATGAGAACTAGGAATTAAAGATAAATATAAAATGGCCTGTATTAATCATGTGTTTCTGATGCTTTAACATCAGGGGTCTTGCTGGCCCTGGCGAGGATGGCCCTCCCAGGGCTGGCTAATTCCTAGATGTAGTACACAATGGGCCCGAGAGTGCGCCTTTCACGTAAACCAACCAATCCAGAGTCCACATCTTTACCACCTCCTCTACAGGGCTCTCACTCACAGAGCCACTATTCTCCTGATCTGATTACCCCAGGGCCAGGTACCAGACATCTAGCCATAGCCCCTATGCCCCAGGGCCTGCTGAAATTATCCAAACTAGCCAATCCTAGGCCTGTTCACCCTGCCTCACACATTCTTGCCTGCAGAAACCACAATAAGGGCTCTTGCCCATGACAGCCCCCACCCCGAACTGATCCTGGTGCTTCCCCGTCTGGCCACCCTCCCTGGTGGAGTCCCTTCCTCTTGGGAACTGTGAGTAACAAACTATTTTTTTAATGGCAATTGCCACCTAATCTGTTGGCCTCATAATACCTGAATAATAACAAAAATCTACATTTTAAAACATAGCCTTGGATTACCCAGTTCATAAACGTACAGACATTTAAAAATATATATTAACAGACTACATAGAAAATTTTAAAATACTGATGGATAAGACCACATGAATCTTACTTTCTTGAAGGTTGAGTGGAGGATTAATGAGATTATCTAAAGTTCGAGGTCCATGTTCAGATTGTGGTGCTGAAAATCCAGGGATTAAGCATGAAAACATCCAAAGCTGTTCTTTGCTACAGTTATTCTGAAGAGCTTGCAACCATAATAAGAAAAGACGAACACCTTCCCGCCTGATCTAAAATAAAATGAAAAAAGGTATTTTTATTTAAAATGGATATACTTTCTTCCATTGAAGGCCACAATTCTCTAGAAGATGATTACAGAATGATACTTTGCAAAAGAGGGGAAGAAAAGGAAGGAAGAAGAGACAGAAGAAGAGAGCGAAGGATGGAGAGATATTACACCCATGACACTTACTGAACCCTTATTATTTGTAAATCTAAATTCATGGATTTTGAACAAATAAAGAATGAACTTGGCCTCTAACTACTTAAAGCCATCAACTAATTTTTGTCCTATAATTTTCACTTGTAAAAAATCAGAAAATCATTTTCTTCTTGTTTACTTCCCTCCTTCCCACCACCACCAGTCTAATCTAAGAAGCAAGAAGAAAGAGGGGGCAATGACAGTTCCTTGCTATAATGAGTTTGGTAAAAGGATGAACGGTTATGGGGATCCTGGTGCACTGCTAACTCAATGCTCTTGTCCTTAAAAGCGTATCAGTCTCTGAAATTGTCTCATTTACTTATTATCTGCTGCTATGCTGCAAAGCAGGAATTTTGGCCTATTACTATATTCTAAGCACCTAGAACAATTTCCTGTACACAGAAGACAACAAATATTTGAATCAACAAATGAATTCTCTCCCAGGAAGAAAAAAGAAAAATAAAGAGGAAAATTCAATCTCTGACAAGCAAAGAAAGTTCTTCACTAACCTAGCTTTACTGGTAGCTCTGGAAATTACCCCACCATGGCTTTGTTAAGTAAGGGCACTGTCAAAGCTATTCAACTGCTGCCACCCTCATGGTTTAGTCAGATTAACAGGATAAAGAAGCAGGATGCTTATTCCTTTGTACTGCTACACCCAAGCCTTCATGCCAAAAGTACCTACAATATGAGTCTTTTATTTAACCAAAAGCATGATGCTTTTGGTCAGAGTAGCTTCTCTTAACCAAAGCACAATGAGAAAATGAAAAAAAAAAAAAGAAGAAAAGAAAAGAGACAAACTCAACATTTTTATATAGATCCCCTACTTTCCTCTACATCTAAGAATAGCTACCGTAAACAAAGAATAACTCATTGAATGACTAAGTAATTTTTGTTTTCTGGGGACCAGAATAAAGTATTTCTGGTGAATGAGTCAAAGTAGTGGCAAAAGTACAAGTTTTTCAATGATCTGGTCAATTTACTATGTATATTCATACATACTGAGTATGTTGCTATATTTTAAGTGAATTCACTTCAATTAAACGAACTGAAGACAATTCAAAATTCTTTAGGAAAAAGGTGATGTAGGAAAAGTGGAATAGGTGGCTGTATGCTTTACTCAGTTTGTTAAAAAGTCACAGGAAAGAAATACCATTATATGTATTATACCTTCAAGGAGTTTCCTGTGTGCAGTAGTTTCTTTAAAATCAATCCTGAAAAGAAAACATGATTTTAAATATTCATATCATCTTATTTGTTTCTAAATGTCAGAGTTCTCGGTCAGACTTGAAAACACTATAAACAAGTCCTTGGCAACCTCCAAATTATTCTTGGTGACCTTGACATTCCTCTGGTCAAACTCTTGGGACCAGAAGGGCATATAAAAAGTCACCTTTCAACACATGGTTTATTGCAATTAAACATGATTTGTTCTATCAAAACAAACCCTAAACCCAAAATTGCATTTAATACAACAATCTATGTATATCTCTTATTTAGACTAATATAATTAAATACTTTCTCCACCACTAATACAAATAAAAACCACTGTAGAAAATTTCCATTTAAATAACCACATGAACATCCATAACTCTAATATTTCCTAACAAATATTTCCATTATACTAATTAATTCTTTTTCAAAATATGCAAAATCATCTTTAATATTCCTTTTTCTTTCACATTATACAATATTTCAAATCTACAATAAAGTACTGAAATAACATTAACAAACATCCAAAGGTCCACCATTTGGTCTGAACAAATCTAAACACAGCGCCATGTTTCTTTTAATTTCAAATTTTCATGTATTTACATTATCTATAATGTTTTAGCTAACAGTACAAGTATTACCGAAACCTCCTGTGAACCCATCTCCAATCACTTTCCTCCTTCCCTCCCCAGTGGAAACCATTATCCAGATTTTGGTATTAATTATTTCCAAAAATATTTTTATATTATTACTACTTATTGATAAGTCCATAAAATATTTAGAACTGGTTTATACGTTTAAAACCTAATATTAGTAATAAGAATTTCTTCCATAGCCATTTGTTCTAATTCTGCATTTTTTATTCTTCCTAGTAACATCAAGATTACATATATATAAAATATATATTTATATACATACACACACACACACACATATATAATGATCAAACCTGTGACTTTATTTGGCTAAGTTTCATTTGTCATACAAAAATAAGCTTTAACGTTTCAACAAACTGTGCTGATTTATCTGCAATTCCCTTTCTTATGTTTGAGCAAACTCAACTTTTTAAAGGCATACTATGTAAACCCCAGTCCTTAATCAACTCTCCTAAAATATTTATATATGGTAAATGCACTATGGCATTGTGGACCGGATCCTGGAACAGAAAAAGAACATAATAGAAAACCAATCAAATCTGAGTTAGTTTGGAGTTTAATTAATAGTAAACAAAACAAAATAAAATCTTATATATGTGGTATCATACAAAACAAGTCATTCTATAAGATGCTTTTCACATCCAATATTAGCTTCTGAAATTTATCTATACTGATCTACATAGCTCTAGTTAATTCATTTTAACTGCTGTACACTATTGCACTGTATGAATATACTACTAATCATCTTATTTGTCTTCTTTATTTTAGCACATTTGGCTTGTTTTCAAATTTTGCTACTCCTGAGAACACTATAATAAATGTTCTTGTTCATGATTCCTTGAACACATGTGAGTTTTCCCAGGGTATATAAATAGGAATGAAATTACTCACCTTCAACTTTACTAAATATTGGAAAATTCTCTCCAAAGTAGTTGAGAAAATTAGCAGTACTACCAGCGGCGTATGAGACCGTTGTGGTAACACATTCTTGCCAATATAAAACACCGGCAGATGCTCGAATATTCGTCTGTCTGATGAGTGTTAAATATCTTAAAGCCTTCCTGTGATGTTTCCTAGTGACACCGAGCATCTTTTCATTTGGCCATTCAAGTTTTCTGTCACATCCTTTGCACAGTTTTCAACTGGTTTGTTTGTTTAATTTGAGAGTTCCTTATACCTACTGGCTACTAATTCTATGTCAGTTCTATGAACTGGGAATATATTATTCTAAACAACTCAGCCACGTTTTTATTGACTGGGAGGGGTGGTATCTTCTGATGTACCAAAGTTTTAAGGTTCATTATAGCCAACTCACCAATGTTTTTCTTTCATATGTGTACCTACTGTATCTAAAGAAATACTTCCCTACCTTAAGTTATAAAAATAAACCAAACAGTCTCTTCAAGAAGTTTTAAAGTGTTCCTTTTCTCATTTAAGTCCGGAAATCCATCATAAATCCGTTTCCGTGTGTAGCAATAACAGAATTTTTTCCCCCCAAATAGACAGCCAATTATAATACTAACTCTTTCAGAGTTTATTATAGAATGAAATGCTATCTCAATCATATTTCAAGTTCCATATATAAGCCTGAGTCTTTGGCTGGCCTTGAAGCCCTTTTCCATTAAGACTAATGCAACATCCAACCCTGCAACAATGATACTGTCCTTAATTATTACAGCTTTATAATACAGGTTGTTATTGGGTATGGGAAGATCCAACAACACCATCCTCCCTCTCCCATGTGTTACTCTTTCAAGTTGCTTTGGCTTTAATTTTCCATATAAATTTTAAGTTAAACTTGTCAGGCTACATATGAAAGTCCTGTTAAGAACTGTTATCTTCACATATCAAGCCTATCTTCCATGAACATTGTATAAGATCCCATTTATTCAATCCTTTCCTGTTCTTCAATAATCATATTGCTGTCATACATTAATCTAATATTTTAAATGACTGCAGAATACACATTCTCAAGCACACTGAAACATTCTCCAAGAAAGACTATATTCTGGACTATGAAATGTCTCAAAAACTTTAAAAAAGACTAAAATAATAAAAAGTGTATTTTCTGACCACAAAAGAAATGTTAGAAATAACAATAGAAAGAAATCTGTAGTAACATCAAATATTTGAAAATTAACAAAATAACACTGCTAAATGAGCTATGGGTCAAAGAAACCAAGAGGAACATTAAAAAATACTTTCAACTGGGGCCAGCCCATGTCATAGTGGTTAAGTTTGGCGCACTCCACTTTGGTGGCCCAGGTTCGCGGGTTCAGATCCTGGGTACAGACCTACACCACTTGCCAACCATGCTGTGGTGGCAACCCACATATAAAGTGGAGGAAGAGTGGCACAGATGTTAGTTCAGGGCTAATCTTCCTCAGCAAAAAAAAACCCAGAAAACAAAAAAACCAACCTTTCAACTGAATGAAAATGAAAACACAACATATTAAAATGCATGGGATGAGCTAAAGCAAAGCTTAGAGGGAAATTTATTGCCTTAAATAGCTATATAGAAGAGAAGAAAGGTACCAAATTAATATCCTAGACTTCTATCTTAAGAAAATACAAATACACAAGCAAAATAAACCTAAAGCAAGCAGAACTTTTTAAAAATATAAAAGACTAGGGGGCCAGCCCCATGGCCAAGTGGTTAAGTTCACATGCTCTGCTTCAGTGGGCCAGGGTTTGCCAGTTCTGATCCTGGGCACAGACCTACCCACTGTTCATCAAGCCATACTGCGGTAGCATCTCACAGAGAAGAACTAGAAAGACCTACAACTAGGATATACAACTATGTACTGGGGCAGTGGGGAGAAAAAAGAAAAAAAAGAGGAAGATTGGCAACCGATGTTAGCTCAGGGCCAATCTCAACAACAAAAAAAACCCTCTCAATAAACTAGGAATAGAAGAGAACATCTTCAACTTGATAAATAGCATCCATAAATTTTTATATTATACATAATAGTGAAACACCGCTAGACCGCTTTCTGCCTTACATCAGTAATAATGCAAGGATGTCTGCTCTTACCACTTTTATTCAACATTGTTCTAGAGGAACAATAAACAAAAAAGAAAGAAGAAATTAAAGGCAACAGATTGGAAATAAAAAAGTAAAATTATCTTGACTTGCAATTGGCATAATTCTATACATAGAAAATTGAAAGGAATCTACAATAAAACAAATGGAATAAACGAGTTTTACTAGAAACACTGTAAATGTCTATTAATTGATGAGTAAATTAACAAAAAGTGGTATATCCATACAACAGAATATTATGCAGCAATAAATAGAATGCTGATACATGGTATAATATGGATAAACCCCCCAAAAAATTATGCTTAAGTGAAAGAAGCCAGATGCCAACAACTACAAATTGGATGATTTCATTTATATAAAACATCAGAAAAGACAAATTTATTGAGGACAGAAAGCAGGTCGGCAGTGGGAAAGGCAATTGTCTTTAAACGGGCTCAAAGGAATATTTTAGGGTGATGGAAATGTTCTGAAACTGGACTGTGGTAACTCTAAATATTTACCAAAAATCATTGGATTATTTACTTAAATGGATAAAATAAAGCTACTTTAAAAAAATCAACTAGAGTCATTGATTTATTTTCTTTTATACACAAGACAGAAAAGAAAGGAAACAGGGCTTTAGAATTCTTCTGGATGACAAAGAAAAACGACCATTTATGTATTTTCTCAAGTTAGACATTTATCAGAATATTAATCATAACAACTAGATAGCCTAAAGGTCCTTTGGAGATTTAAGGCTACATTCCTCAGCAGATACAATAACCTTTGAAGTTCAGATGTCTCAAAAAAAGTTTCTTCATAGACAACCTTCAAGGACAGTTTATGATTATGAAATACAAAATAGAATTTCATTATTCTGTTGAGCACTTTATCACATGTTTATTAGCAATTCATATGTCTTCTTTGATCTACTCAAATATTTTGCCTATTTTAAAAATTGACTTGTCTTATTATTGAGTTGTAAGAGTTCTTTACATACTATGGGTACATCATTTTTTGTCTCAAATTTTATCTAGAAAGTTTATTCTAAAAGACTCCACTATCTAGAATATTGTCCTTTTTAGCCCCTACATCAATATCCCTCCTATATTTCCAGAGTTCCTTTTGTTTCTGGAACTGCTAATTGGGGATGGCTTACAGTTTCAAAGCCTCAGAGAAGTTTTCATTTGCTATAACTGAGTAACACATGTAGGGCCTAAATAAATCTATGACTCTATTTTTTAAGGGGAACAAATACAATTTTTACAAATGAATATAAGGCCTATAACATTCTACCTCAACAATGTAGGTGGCCGTCCACATATTCCCCATGAGAGAAGGGTCATGAGAATCGCTAGCAATCAGCCCTGACATCATTGAGACACTGAACCAAAGCCAGCAACTGCCTACCTGTAGACTCTTTTTTTTTAATCTGTAGGGGAAAAACGTCTTATACTGAGAGCTCGAGAGCCCTGTGATTATTACAGAACGACTTCAGGCCAGCAAGCATCTTGGCTTAGTTCCTGGGAACATAAAAAGTCTGTGACCTCCTGCCTACTTGGTCTCTGACAGTAATCCACCGTAGGCTTTCTTTTTTTCCCCCCATTTCTTTTTACCTTCATTTTATGATCTGGGAAGCTCTACTTTGGCCCTTGAAGCAGTAAGCTTAACTCCAGTTTCGCCCTTTTCTGGTGTGGAGCAAACTGCCAGCTGACACTGCTTGCTTTCAAACCTGGAGCCCACGGCTTCTGCTCTACTTGGCATTTTGCATTTCTCTTCCTCTTCTGATTTATAGAGATGTTTATTTTGATGCTGAGCCTGCTTCTATTTTTTTGGTTTTATAGTTTTATCACCAATGTTAAGGTATTCAGAGTAAATGAACGAGTGGATCAAAGAAATTTAATACGCCATTTTGACTAGAAATCCTTCATTTATGTTTTTATCTTATATTCCCAGTAAGTCTAGTCCTGTAATCTTTATTTTATTTTTACTAAAGTTTAAAATATGAACTCATTTCAAATGATGACCAACCCATTAAAGAGCATTTTCATATATTATAATTTCTTTCAAATGGGAAATACACATTTAAATTACTTACCAATACTATGAAACTGCCATCGCTGATGAATTCTTTCTGGAAGAAGTTGTAAAATTTTCTAAAAATCAATATGAATAAAACAAAGGAAAGAATTAAAAGCAAGACATGAGTCTATAGGATATCCTGCACAATGTGAAAAATTAAACAAAGAGCTTACACTAAGCCTTGAAGAGTTTCTTATGTAAAAGATAATATTTCAAACACAAATTAGTCTCTGAGCTAATCTGATAGTTGCATTACTCATAATATTCATTTACTGGCATTACTTCAGCACTGGCATACTGATCAGTATTTGAAAACAAAAAACAACAAGCTATACTAACAAAGACTTGGAACAGGAAATTAATGAAATTTATCTTTTACAATGATGCGAAAAGTAAGTATAGTTCTCTTATTGATTAAATACTAACTCTATATCAAAATGCTTTTACTATTCTTAGAATTTCTGCATTGTGGATATTACTGATTAGTTTTGAATTCTTTCAGATATTAATATTTGTGACATTTTCTCTCTCTTTGAGTAGTTTCTTCTCCTGTTTTGATAAACCCAGGAGAAATATTTTGATTTCACAAAAATCCCATCAAATATTTGTACTGAATTAATTCATGTAAACCCAAAGGTACTTACATGATATGATAGCTATAGGTATGAGAATAAAATTCAAAACTTCAGGAGCCCTATAGTTACGCAAATATATATACAGGTTTCCATCAACTGGGAAGAAATACTTCTTAAATATAATACTTTCAAACTTTTTCCTTTAATTTCCTTTACATATTGCACCTGTGTGGATTATTCTAGATCAATAGCTGCCTTACTATGCTGCTGAATTATCCACTTGCTCAATCACATGTGTGTTTTTGTTTCTATTGCTGCTTATACTACTATTATTATTTAAAAACACCATTAACTGGATGTTCTAAAGGCCAAATACTGAAGAAGACCCTTTATATAATGGTATCTCATTAATCTTTGCAATCACCCCAAAAGAAGAGTTTATTAATCTAATTCGACAAATGAGGAAATGGATTAAGCAACATTAGAGAGTGGAAGAACAGAGGTTCCAACCTCAATGTGCCTGTTGCCAAAACTTGTGCTTTTACACTGTTCTGCTCAAAGGATGGTATGCACGTTTTACACTTGTCTGTCTTCCCTTTGATGTGATCTTTGGCCGTCTCACACGAGATGGTGATGAAGAAATCGTAAAGTTCACAGATGAAGTGCTAGGCCCACCTGAGACACACAAGCTTCTTCTCCCTCACCCTCCCCACATCCCCCGTGGTCACCTACAACTGTATAATTAGACTTATTTTGGTGTGAAAAGAAATAAAATTATAGAAAGTTGAAAAGATAAGTTTGTGAACTACTCAAAAGTATTCCTAAATTACGATTATTAAATTATACTTTCGATTTAACACCTTATAAAACATGTCTATATCTTTTTTATGTGGTTAATATAAAGATGAAAGAAATTATGTGTACTCTTAAGAAGAAAATAGAATTTAAATCCCATACCATATTATTAACATTACATAATGGTGCTTTTTATTCCAGAAAGAGGAAATCAGTTTATTTATAACTTCTTGATTTTTTTAAAATCATCATTAGTCTCTAAAGGCAGAGGTCAGACATTATTGCCCCCATTATGAGTACAAAAACACAAGCACACAAGCTAAATATTTTTTCCAAAAGATAGAAACTCTGTATTTAACATCTTTTTTCTAATAAAGTTTAATAATTCATTAAAGACAAACATTTCTGTCCAAAGAATAACAAGTGATCGGTATATATTACATACAGGAAAATAAACAGTATTTTTTAATGAAAGGAATATCCTGAAAGAGCACCCAATAACTAATCAATCGTCTCAGTCTCCTGAATGTAGGGCGAGCACGAACATCTGAAGGAATGCTTTCTAAGAATTATGATCTTTTCTCTGTGAATATTTTTACTCTTACTCAAAAACATCTATGTTTTAATATTCCCCTTATAAACATTCACGCAAACACTTGGGGAAGTAAATATAAGCAAATTCCTCAGGGTTAATGACTAATGAAAATTAACTACAGAACAGGTACCAACACCAGGTACTTCCCTCTGAAACTTAAAAAAAAACCCAAAAAACAACTTTCCTTTTTAGCTGTGACTAAATCAATAACTAAGAGAGATATCCACTAGATTGTTCAAATTCTTCTAAACTATATCAAAACACTCAAAATACAAAACAGTGAACTATCTTTAATTAGGAGTACACGGAATAGCTCAATCTTTAGAAACTGATTTCCAAATTCTTTACTGTGCCTTTCAAGTCACGAGATCTAATCCTGACTTTCTCCAGATCTCTAAATTCTCCATAAAGATCAGAATAGTCCTATCACAGATTTGAAAGACAAAATGAGGAGCAAGGAGCTATTTTAAGAGTGAATGTGTATGTGTGTGTGTGTGTGTGTGTGTGTGTATGAGAGGGACCCTAATTTTTATCAGTATGCCAAAAATAAAACAAATTTTAGCAGAATATCAAACGCTGCTGTTTCCTTCTATTTATTTAGCAATAAAGACTTGTCCCGTCCCAATCAAAAGTAATAGAGAACAAGTTATAAAACATTTAAAATTATTTTATACAAGTTTGTAATAAAAAGCAGTTAAAGCAGAAATGATAAATTCCTTAGGTTTATAACAGTTCCAGGCATTTACCCTCTCAGGTAAGAATGTTTTAGAATTAAAAAAAAAAGCTCTCCATGTATGCAAACCTCCCACAAATTAAAATTTTCACTGTTTGCAAATACACTGAATATAGCACAATTTTGTGGTGTCGTGCGTATAAAAACATAATTCTATCTGAATCTAAAAAGAATATATGTACCTCAAAAAATAATTAAGAATTAGGTATATTTTTAGGTTTAAAAATGTGATTCAGTTCTTGGGAAGCATGGCAAATTCAGTGTTTTATTATATGCTTTATAGTTTTAATATATTCCTTTGTATGTTACAAGAATTATTTTGGGGGAAAAAAGCTAGATTGGCAAGTACTCACCTCAAAAATAAAAAGTATAGCATCCAATTCTTCTCTTTGAGACTTGTGACCTAAAATATTTTTACAGAAAAATATTTTAAACATTATCATTTTGTCCTCATTGTTAACAACCACTTAAAAAAGCTTAAAATATTTCAAGCATTGAAGTTTTTTTCTCATTATTCAATAAAATGTTTAAAGCATATTCTGTTCAATGTGTAGACAATATTGCAGCATCTCTCTCTCCTCTTTTTCAACAACTAAATTTAGATTCTACATATTTATGTCTAAAAACAAATCATAACATATTGTGGAGAACTTTAAATGAACCCTGAAACTGAAAATATGACACTGATGGATCAGACCCGACCCGTGCCCCTGGCGGGGGGGGAGGAGGGGGAGCAGGTCCTCTAGGCCACCTCACAGTAACAAGGAGAGCACTGGGAACCCACAGGGTGAGGGGGGGGTCTCAAAGCTGTCTGACAAAAGGAAGTGAAATAATACTACCATTCCAGTGTCCAAGAGTCTATTTTTAAATGAACATTTCTGACGATTATTTGAAATTTCGACATAAGCCAAGATCAATTTTAATTAACATCTTACCTTTCTGTTTAAGACTAGCTTCAATAGTCACAAAATTCTCAAAGAACACATAATATATATGTGAAAAGTGTTGGTCAAAAAACTGCTTAAGATCAATAGACTCTGCATTCTCTGAAAAATAAATGAAAAAAGTTTTCAGTGATTACTATTTACAAATATATTAAATCATATTCAGCAAATATTCATAGTGGCAAGTTTCCTTCATTAAAGTCAAAGATCTGCTGCCCCTAAAGTTGTATCCTATTAAAATATTTGAGATAGGTATTTACATCACTGCATTCTTGTTCTCACAACTTTAGTTTTTAAAGATTTGAGTTATAATTTTAAACACTGGTCAAATTAGGTTATAATAATCTTTGTTTCCTACAAGAGAACAACGTCTCAGGGAGATTTATTCAAAATTAACCAAACCAAAAAAAGAAGTTCTATTTTCAGTTCACAGCTACACCTCTCTACCTTTTCCCCAAGACAGTCTAAAATCAGTATTTCTAAAAGTAATAATATATTCTGTCTAAAATACATTTACTTAGTAAATTGGTACCTAGCAATAGGCTTTATAAGGCACATAAGTATGGAGCTCAAACACAGATAATCCTGCTCTAAAAGAACTGTCAGGATAGTCCAGGGCACACAAAACTAGACATATAACTGTGCACAGTGGAAAGTGTTGCATACTGAAAGTAAAGGGATAAAGTATAATGGCAGTTTAGAAACACAAAATGATTTTCAAACCTCAATGAGGGGTGAAGGTGGCAAAAGAAGAAAAGCCTGACATAAGACATATTATTTGAAAAGACTTTTAAGGACAGGAAGGACACTGGACACGAAGCGGTGGGCTTGAACAGAAAGGGCATTCTAGCCATAAACAAAGACATGGAGTGAGGAAAGCATAGAGGCATGAGAGGATGGCAGAACAATCATTCATTCTGGCTAGAACTCAGAGCATTTTGATAAAAATAAAATTGAAACAGTAGCCTTGAGATATGTTATAAAATGTCACGAACGCAAACTAAGGAGACTGGACGTATTATTCAAAGTAAGATATCTATGTGGGCATGTATGTACTTGTGCATTTTGTTGTTTGGTTTACTTTCAGGAGGAGTGAGAAGGCTGAAAAAAGGGGGAATGGAGAATTTTTACTTTATATACTTCTTACTATTCAAATTTGTTTACAAAAGGCACATACTTTATTTATAATACAAAATAAATTTGAAAAAGGCAACTGGAAGAAAAAAATCAAAGATTTTTGAACCTGGGAGTGAGACGAAGAATAAACTACTATTAATTGTTAATAAACTCAAAGGTAAACATCAATTAATTTCTTAGAATGCCTTAAGGCTCAGTGGAAGACAATAAAGTTAAATAGTAACAAAGTACAGACAGCACTTTAAACTCTCTTTCAGATATTATCTCATCCTATGAATATTCATAATAATTCTTTAGTGACATCTTGTCTGATTCTTTAGTGACACCTTGCCTATGGAATTTTCCAAGACCACTTCCCTTTTGCTATGCCCTCGCAAAGGAACGGATGGATGCCTTCTCCTCTCTATTCCTTTGGATTCTCTACATTTCTCTCTTATAGAAGTAACTATGTTAAGTGTTTTTCTGTCTTTTTTCCAAGACTGGTCTATAGCTTCTTTAGAACAGAAACTGTCGATCTTAGTATTCCCAAAACCTAGTACGGTGCTGAACAGATATGTACTCAAATATGTTTTATCATTAAAAAAATACTTTAATTTTACTGTATTTATTTTGCAGTTTGGAAATTTTTAGCTTGGAAAAGACCACATAACCTACAGACAGGCAAAATTGCATCGTTTCATCGTGACTGAAATGAGAACACCCAGATTCACTCCTACCTGTAACACTACCCGTGTGACTTTTCTCAGAACTAGAAAAAATAATAATGGCTAATAAACTGAATGTTTCCTATACGCTGGACACCCTTCTAAGCGCTTTACAGAAACTGACTCCTATCATCCTCATGGCAACACTACAGAATAAGTACCATTATTATCTCTATCTTACAGATGAGGAAACAGGCAGAGTTTAAATAACTGAGCCAGTAAGAAGCAGAGTCAGGGATCTAAACCCCACGCAGCCTGGATCTAGCACCCTTGCTCTTAACCTCTTTGTTATTCAGCCTCCATGGTAATAGGAAAAGAACACTAGCAATTTATCTATTACCTGCCTATAAGAAGACAAAAAATAATAGTCATCAAATACTAAACACATTTTATAAACTATCAAAATAAAAACACATATAACTGAGATAAAGAGAAAAAGTATTCTATTTTTCCCATAGAGTAGTTTAAAGTAACAAAGAACTATGAAATTACAATGAAATAGGCTACTATAATTACCTCTAAATTTCCTGAAATTAATGTTTCAAACATAACTAATGTCTCAGGGGAAAAAAGAAAACAAGAACAATAAGAAAGCAAAACAAAACATCAGAACAAAACAAAAGCAAACACGCACCAACTCAAGATTTTGCAACATACTGTAGGAGCCAAGACAGTCTCTCATAATTTCCTTTCCAGACAGCAAGTTAACAAAGCCTGGAAACTACATACTTGCCAATAAAAAACACTGGATCAAAATTAGGCTAATGTGTTTTTTACTCTATATCTATTTGTAACAGACTAGTTAGCAAATAAAAACTCTTTTATAAAATATTTTTGATCACCAATTCACAAAATTTACATGGTGGTGGAAAGTAGAGGCAGATACACAAAAAAGATGAATAAAATATACTAAGAGGACTTCGCTTATTAAAAAACAACTCTCTCTATAAAACAACACAGAAGGAAAAAATGAAAAATAAAGACGGAAATGCAGAAAGAAAGAAATTATGTAAAAAACTTCTACCAATTTTAAATCCCCATACCATGTCTCATCCTTTCCAAAAACGTCTCCCAAAATCCATTCAGTTTTCTCTCTCTGTGAATGCCTCCATTACTTTTAGTCAAGATGATTCCTAATTATTGGAATCATTAGCTAATATTATTCTCTTAAAGAAATTGGAAGCTCTTTGGGAGCAGAAAGCATAACTTGGCTTCTTTTACCTTTCAAATTCTTTCAAAATTTTAATCTAGGGAGAGTGCGTGCATAGTGTTAAACTGACGGTTGGCACTTAAAAACAAAGTTTAGGGGCCAACCCTGTGGCCGAGTGGGTAAGTTCACACGCTCTGCTTCACTGGCCCAGGGTTTCGCTGGTTCGGATCCTGGGTGCAGACATGGCACCGCTCGTCAGGCCACGCTGAGGCAGTGTCCCACATGCCACAAGTAGAAGGACCCACAACTAAAATATACAACTATGTATTGGGGGGATTTGGGGAGAAGAAGAAGGGGAAAAAAAAAAAGACTGGCAACAGTTGTTAGCTCAGATGCCAATCTTTAAAAAAAAAAAAAAAGGTTAAGGGTTCAAAATTTCCCCCTATTTTCAGAAATACTTCTGTTCGATTTGCAGTGTTAGTGCATTAGCATTTCCTTAAAGAAATCAAATAAATATTTCAACCACAAATTCAGATTGAGGGTTCTGATATTTAAAAAACTGACTCAGGCTTAGAAATGCATTTGTAGACCTTTGGAATACTAAGTTTAAGTAGCAAAATAGTTCTAGACCTCATTTTGTTTCCACAAATAAAATTTCAGATGTCTCTAAGATCTTTTTATGAATAAGCTTTAAGAAATGAATCATAACATATTTATTTTCTACTATGCATTTTTAAGACATTTAAGCACTATAACAAACATATAATTAAAGACTTCAAAGTTCAGAGCCAGTTTTTCTGACTTTAAATTTTAGATATTAAATACTTCCCTATAACAGTTATCACGTAATTCAAGATGGAAGACCAAAATTTCAACAAATTTGGTAGTATTACTATTCTTCCTCATCTATTAAAAAAATCACTATTTACAACTTTTCCTCAAATGATGGCATCATAATACACTAATCTGTGAGGCGTATCACAAGTAATCTGCTTCTAATAATAAAGTACCAACATTGCAAATTATCACCTTAAAATAATCAATAATAATCAGGATAGATCCAAGAACATGGTGAATTGTCCTAAAACAAAATACCTTCTTATTGCAAACATGCAGAAATGCTGGATAAAAATAAATAATATAAGCTCAAAGAAAAGAAAGGAGAGAAAGATTGGAAGTGAAGAAAAAAAATAAAGCAGGAGAGAAGGAAGTGAGATGGAGGAAGAGGAGGCATGGGGGAAGGGAGATAGTGACAATGTGGGATGAAAAAAGGAGAGAGGGGCTGAAGGGGAAATACAGAGGAAGGGGGAATAGGAAGGAAGCAAGGGTGAGGGAAAGGGGCAGTAGGTAAGGGGGGAAAAACCTCAGAAATCCAGTATGAAATACAAGTAGCATGGAGTTAAGCACAAACAAACAGCAAAAGGGCAGAGAAAAGCAGAAGGCACACAGAAGAGAAAGGAGGAAGAGAGGAGAAAGAGGAAAAGGGGAAGGGTTAAAAACACACAAATAGGCTGGATAAATTATTAATAATATATCATCAATCTCTAAAAAGAGGGAGGTTTATGGGATCGGGAGAAGTTGAGAAAGGGGAGAAAGAACAAAGGGCGAAGGAAAGAAGTTGAGAAACAGTAAGTTAGAAGACAGAAGTGAAGCTATTGCTCAGAATGTAACAGAAGAATAACAAGATGGAAAATATGAAGACAAGGATAACAGACTATCTGGGAAGTTCCAAGAACAGAAAATGTAAGCAATATTCAAAGAAATAATATCTGAGAACTATCTAAAATCAGTGAAATACATAAATAAATCTTCAGTCTGGAAAAGCATATTGAGTCCCAAGCAGGAAGAACACAAATCCACACATGGACACATCCTACCGAAAACAAAATGGAAATATTAAAACCAACCAAAGTTACCTATACAGGAATATAAAAACTAACAGCAGACTTCTCATTAGCCCAACAGGGACAGGAAGATAACGCAATTTTATACTGAAAGAACTAAAGGAAAATAAAAGTCAATCTAAATATACTCAGCAAAATTACTGTTCAATAGCATAAACATGAAAATGAAGCAAAAGGTTCTCTAATACACTTAAACACTCAAAAACC